GGGTAAAGATTGACAGGTTGGAATCGGGTGTCACTCGGGTTTCCTTTTCAGTTTGTGACGCATCTAACTATCATAAATATATTATTGGGGGCAGAACACTATGTTTAGATCCAGCTCACAAACGCCCATATTGTGGTGGATATTGCTTGTACGCCTCAATGAAAACTGGAAACCGGTACTGCCCTGTTAAAGGGTCCAAGTAACTGATGCCAATGGGTTCCTGAAACGCTCCTGGAACAGAATGCGAGGGACTGATGTGATCTCGTATCTTGTTACATGTAGGCGTCAGGGTTAAGATTCATCAGCAACTACTTTCTATTACGGCAAATTACCGGCGGGGAACAAATAATCCGGCGCAGTTTTTACTTTTTCCTAACTCCGCGTTACTTTTATAAAAGAAGAAAGGAGAAAAAGGAAAAAGCACGTCTTCGAGGCTCATCGCAAAGTATCCGCTGCGTCTTCGTGGACTGCCCTGGCCAACAAAAGAGACGGGTCTGCATGAGGTGGCTGGTCTGCTCGTCTAGCCTCCCTGATTTGGATATAGAGGATATCCTAAGCCGCGATAAGCACTCTCTTCTCATATGACGACAGAGTTCCAGTGCTTGAAGTGGACGGGGATACATCAATTGTATGTACATGCCGAGTACATGTAAACTTGGAACCCCTGCTTATCGGGCTCCGCTGCTGCGTGTGTGTCTTTGAATCGCCCGGATCAGCGCCTGACGATCCAGTCACGCATTTTTTGCGGAGTGATGGCCATGCTTGCTGCTAACCCGCAACTGCCAGCGGCTTCCGATGAGGATAAATGCACATCAAAAATGCGTCGGAGCTTGCCGCCAATAATATCTTAATTGCTAGTAATGAAATATGCTCAGTTTTCTTGTGTCGGTTGAAATCCATGGATACTAGTCGCTTGTAGCAGCCGATCATCGACGTAGCTGAAGCATGGGCAGTGCTACGGTGTAAATGTTCAAGCTGACATGGAGAGATCCAAGCGTAGCCCCAGACTGATTCCATGGCTTCTCTCGTATGATGCGCCTAGCCTAAACCACTGGTCCCATGATGAATCCAATCAAGATCAAGAAGTATGGGACGTTGATCTCAGGAGTAGGGATAATCGCATGTTGCGGCATACCATTTTTTAATGATTTGGTGTATGAAACAAAAGCTATGACACAGCAGTAATACCTCTCATAAGTCTTGCATATCATATCATGCCAGGTATCCTAGACATGGGGTTGATTTGATATTGATTACTGTAGGGTTAATGAGTGAAGGCGGAGCTCGTTCGAGACATGCTCGAGATATTCAAGCCAAGGAGGATAAAAGGAACCCCTCCGCAAGGAGCATTATTTTCCTATGAATCTTTTATAATAGCGTAGTTACCCCCATCAGAATTACGTAACCTTGTTCTAAGGTGGAAGAAGCGAGATAGCAAAGAAAGGGGAAACCAGTGAGATTCATGCGATAGGGAGATAAAAAAGATACGAAAACAAAATTAAAATAACATGAACATAAAATGTAAAAATAAGAGGTTTTCGAATGTGAGGAGACATATCTAGAGTACGTCTTGGATGGCAAAAGGAAGAGGGGAGACGGTTAAAAGTTAAATATATAAAATAACTAAAGTGTAAAAAAAAAAAAAAAAAAAAAAAAAAAAAAATAGGGACGGTAACTACCTCTCCAACCCTGTTAAACGCCTCGATGTTATTAGCATGCATGGATTGATCAACAACGTCTTCCATCACCCAAACTTTTAAGGCAGAAAAATATCTAGGATAATCCCCTCCCGCATGAAAAGCTCAAGAGTATGTAAATCTAAAAAGAAATACAACAGGGGCAGATAAAGGTTGAGAAGATGAAAGGGGAAGGTAAAGGAGTTGAAAATATATATATGTATATTGATTTATACCCTCCCTTCCCCCCCTCTCCTATCCCGCATAAAGATAATCACCCCTAAGAAATAATCTCCCCGACACGCGCTCCACGGAATCTGAAAAGGTGATACCTCTGGAACTGAAAACCACACCATCGCCATAGACAGAGTCATCGACACCGCTAACGTCGAATCGTCTGGGAGAACTGGTAAGTGCGTCAGCAGGCGCAGACACAGCAGCATTGTGACGGCGCGGCCGACAAAACCTGCACGGGTTGTTGACTCGGATAGGGTAGTAGAGTGTGTTTTCGGGCGGGCAGACGTATCTGTTTCCGCAGCGCTGGAGGGGCCCCCAGCTTCTGTGGCCGCAGCTGTGGACGTAGAAGGCCTTGCTGCACATGGTTGGCGTATTTGGTGTCTTTTCACCGACGTTTCCTCCTCTTTTTTCCAGTTATATCCTTTGACGTCTTTGTTCTACTTTTCTTTTTTGTGAGAGTTGGCTATTTGGGGTTTTGGTGCTGGAGAGGAGAAATTGCGGATGGGTTTGGATTTTCCGGGTTCGGCGGCGGGATATCATATAATAATATTGAATTTTTGGCTGGTTTGGGCTTTGTTCGGAGTCGAGGTATAAATGAGTTGAATATAGGGGTTTCTTGAGACCTATATCTATCAATTTTTCTTCCCTCCCCTTTCTCTTAGATTGAGACGAATAGGTTGAGATGGTCACCGTCCAGTATTTATATTTGATTTAGCCAAATGATACCTGTGAGCGACTAACAGATGAGGGAAAAAGGCGGTCGAGATTTGTGGTCATCGTCAGGTCCGGGATTAAGTCTCTCGCACGACGAAATCGTTTTGGCCGGACTATATATTATGTTTGAACACGGGATATGGGAGCTGGAAATAGCCGAACTGATAAAGTAAGGCAGGAACGGTAGCTGTGTGCTTCGCACGGCGGGATGTTGTATCCTTTCTATTATTATTGTTATTATTATTATTATTATTATTATTATTATCATATTAATAATAATATTCCATTGTCAAAACAGAAACCGTATCCTGGAGCGGATTGTCTGTCAATGGGGTGCGGGCGGGGTGGAAAGATTGAAACATTGATGAATGCGGGGGCCTCATTTTAAAAACATCTCCCACTGGTAAATCTGTTTCGGGAGGGAGGGAGGGACTTGGGGGAGGTAATAGTTGATGCAGCAGATGACTTTTAAGAAAGGTCACGAAGTTCCGAGAGTATTGGGACTGACGCCAGGTAGCCAACAGCTGGAAATATATATTCCTTTAGCTTACCTATGAGGTTACCAACCGGAAAGTGAACATGGGACGCAAAAAGGGTTTCTGTTGGTAGCCAGAATCAAGTGTTTAAACGGCAAGGGCTGCATCTTGCATCATCCGAACCATTCCAGGACGTTTTCTCCTCTTTCACCCACGGACGTTCGCATATTGCTCCGCCGTTGGTGAGAAGATATCAAGCTGTGCTATACACCCTAGACACGTTGGCGTTGCACGCTTTGTCAAACCTGGACACACACGAAAAAGGAAGAGCCTCCGTGGATGTGACATCCTACCTCTCCGAATGGAGGGTGTAGGAATTGAGTTGAATCTTTGTTGTTTTTCCCCCTTTCCGCGGCCAACTCTCAGTGAGCGGCGGGAACTGGGGTATCGAAACCCACATTTCATGGAATAAAACGCGGAAGAAATTGATATCTAGAATTCTGATGAGGAGAATTTTTCGGCTAGGGAAGTGGATTTTGAGCCTCTTTTCAATTTTCCCGGAAGCTGCCAGTAAAAAGAGGTCGGATGTAGGCGAATGACGACTTCTTCAAAGCCGATTTTGGTTTCCTTCCTGCAGCAAAAGCGCCTGTACGAGTCCAGTTGATCAGCGTGTAACAATTTCCCGCAAAGAAGCTTGGGGACACGCAAGAAGGGAGAGGGATCTCCGAAGGTACTCGTTGAGATCAGCTGCGATGCTGTACAACGATAGGAAAAAAGGCTGTAGCCAGGAAGAGTATAACATGGTGGTGGGATGTGTACACCAGTGGCGTAAAATCTGAGGGCGAATGCTCAGTAATCCGAGCTTTGGGTTGACAAATGTTGTGAGATTGTAATTCCCAACGGCGTGAAAAAGTTTTCATTCTTTTCCTTCCTTTTTCCCTTTCTGCCTTCATTTATCCGGAAATGAAAAGATATCTTGACAGGGTGAGGAGCTCTATTCTGTGGGGATTGGATAGGCATTGTGGGCAAAAAGGTCAAAATCGGGTATGGACTTCGAGGCGCAGCAATTGAAGACCCCGTGGTAGAGTTTGAATTTCTCCAACACTAAAAAAATCTACAAGTAAAGAAAAAAACATTCAAGGGAAAAAAAAAAAAAAAAAAAAAAAAAAAGAATGGAATGAAACATCATGTAGCATCCGGGGGCAGTTAGTTGAAGAGAAAATCAGCCCTTGAGACTTAAGCCGAGTCGGAGATGCTATCCGCATGCATGTCTTGCTGTTCTCCTCACTGAGAGTATAAATATACAGTACAAAAGCTCGAGTGGTCGCAGCGAGTTAGTTACACAGTGATGAAGGAGATGCGATAGATCAGGCATTCTAGACTTTTTCAACGGCCCAATTCGAGTCTCGAGCAACACGCAGAGAGCGGGTGTCTTAACAGTCTTGATCCAACCTTGGGCAGAAAAGGGACTGAATCCCATCAACCAACGCTTGATCGTGTTGTCCCATCACTGTGGCGGAGTTTGGATCTAAGGACAGATCCAGAACCTGGCCTCTCGCCCACGCGTCAATTTACGGTTGCAAACCCGGCGGCCCCTGAGGGTAAGATGGCCGCGGAGTGATTTGAAACCTCGTCTGGGTACTTTGTAGTTATGGACGAAGATGTCAGAAACTGGAGAAGCTGTTCTGTGGGGCAGCAACCTGGTCGAAGTATTGGGGCGTAGCGAGAGCGCAATATCTCAGAGGAACCCAGCAGACAGTAGATGAGACGAGGCGTCGACGAGGAATTGGGTTCCAGTGAGAAATAGGGATTCACCAAATAATTCATTAAATAAGCCCGGGGCTCAGCGCCAGGACTCGAGACCGTTGGCTGCCAGCTGCCTGCCAGCTGCTGCGCCATGGTCCGCCGCAGCGCTTGCTGGCTCCGCTCTCCCCGCCAGTCACGTCGTCGCTTGCTGCGCTTGGGTCTGCCCGGCGTGCTGCCTTCCATCGCCAACCCTCGCCACGATGCTGTCTTGCGTAGCTATTTGAAGAATGTCGGTGGCGCTCACTCTGCGGCAATATATAATCACAATATTTATCTTTTCTGGACTCCAGCACCCCAACGGTTGTCTGAACAGCTTTGGCTAAAGAGTTCCCTCAACTCAACCGCTCGACTCTTTCTCCCCGCCAACCCATATCTATCTTATCTACTCCGTATTTACTTCAAGTTGTCAATAACCATGTTGACACAATCCGCATCATCGACAGACTCCTTCTCCTCCGCAGATTCCCCCACCTCACACACTGTAACCTGCGCCTCCCGTGCCTCCCCCTCCCCTTCAGCACGAAAAAAGGGCCTCTCCCTCGACCTCTCTAACCTCCCTCCCCCCATCCAACCCTCCCCGCCCTCAAACACCCTCCTAATAACCGAACTCTACGACCTGTCGCTCTTCCAACCCTCCTCCCTCGACGCCATCAAAGCCCAAATATCCCGCATAACGCCTCTAAACTCCTTCTCCCCGCTTCCCTCCCTCCGTCGCATCGTCTGCTCCTTCACGTCCATCCCCGCCGCCATAAGAATCCGCCAGCTCCTCGACGGCGAGGCCATTCTAGGCAAAAATGTCCGCGCCAGAGTTTACTTTGGCGAGAACACCCCCGTCGAAGATGCCGAGGAGCGCCGTAAACGCAACCTCCTCGAAGCACCCAAGTCACAGAAGCTGTTCTTCATCAGTCCCCCGCCCAGTCCCCCGCACGGCTGGATGATGCGAAATGAAGGCCCGCCCAATAAAGAAGTGCACGCCACCGACCTAGCCGAAGCGTTGGGCAGACTCGGGACGATAACAACAGATGCCACAGGTTCAGACGGTTTCGACAGTGCAGCTGCAGCAGCAGCGGGAGGCATTGATGGTATGGCGGGACAAGACCCGGACACTCCCATTTCCATCTCGTCGGATGTTTACATGCACGGAAACGATCATGAAGGATCCAGCGCGGCGGCTAGGCGCGCATCATATCCCCGGGCACCAGGCCTGAGTGGAGAGCGCAGCGGGAGCAGTACGCTCATCTACTACCCGGAGCACCATGGCAGCAGCCCTCATTTGCCTGCAGTTATGGTCGAGGATACGACGGTTGGCGGCGACGTTTCTGATATGGAGATGGAGATGGATAATGATAGTCTCGGATCGGGGAAACGCATTATAGCGCACACGGCTCGACCGCCCGTTGAGCTTATGGAATGATTTGCCGATAGATTAATGGATGGATAAGCCCTTTTATGTTTTTTGTTTGTTTCTCGTCGTTTTGTTTCTTCCTTTCTTTCCGTCCGGGTGGGGACGGGGGGAAGAACCGGGGAAACAAACTGGGGGGCGTTATGCTGTGGGTAGTATATTTCTTCGTCTGGGGAGCGATGGGTTGTCTTCCTCTGTACATAACTTTTCCTTTTCCTTTTCCTTTTCCTTTTCTTTTATTTTTAGTGCTTCATCGTCGTACTGGTGGCGTTCTGGGCTTTATTCCGATATTGTTTGTCATGGAGATTTTTCTTTCCTATATTTTCCTTTCCTTTCCTTTCCTTTCTCTTTTCTTGTTAAATACATTACATCCTATACTGCTTTCAAAAGCGATTTTTTTGATAACCTCATTCTTCCCAGTCACCACAATATGATTGACCTGCCTTCTCCTCGGCGTCCTGCCATTGATTGTGCTTATCTCACTTATCCTTAAAATTTTGTGGTGCTACTGAATATATAGAGCAGGCTCTTCGAGACTTGAAACAGGGCGCATTGGAAGCGGCCAGGGTCAAAGCCTCTGGGCGATGTTGTGAGATTGCGGCTTGATCCGGTTAGCCGTACTTAGCCGTCTTAAAGTTTTTGATGATTTATTCAAACGCATGTATTGTCTACGTTGTTTCGCTCTCTGCTGCCTTAGCGCTGCGCTGAAGAGGAGGAGTAAAAGCGAAGGTCTTCCACTGATTGCTTTTTACAAGCTTCCTGCTTCTTATCACCGCGAATATGGTTTCCTCTTCACAAGTCACAGCATGAACTCGTCTCTCTTCATCCCCCAGGGAGTGTAATCTGTATGTACATAGTAAACGATCAGCAAAAAGTGTCTGCTAGTGCTCGCATCTGCTGGTAATGAAAGGAGACATCAATACACTCAATACACTCAATACACAACAGGGCCCAGTAAATTACATCATGAATAATAAATATATTGCTGGTAACGGATGGTAAGAGGGACTGATAACGTTATTCAGAGATCTCATTGAGGGAAATCCCATCGGAGGCCCGTCTGGCAGGCAAGGATATTTGCAACCCGAAGGGACCAGGACCAGGGCACACCAGCGAGCCCCAATGGGACAAGTGGAGTGGAGTTAGTCAGCCAAACCCGCAGTTGAGCCGCAACAGCCAAACCGAGCAAACTGACCCAGAACAAGAAGGCTGCTTGGGATGACTACGTATGAACTCCCAACCATCGCCATCAACGACCACCATCAACCATCGGCAGTCGATGTACATCGCTATCGGGAGGACGATACTCAACTTGCCTCTGCCCTCTCCGGTGCTGCAACGCTTCGTGGGCCGTTTCGTCATTGCGCTTAGCTGGGCTGACGAGGAACTGTTGATACGAGGGTGAGGTAGCTCCGACCCCCTCGCCGCCCTGTCTCTTGTCTTTGTCTACTCGTGTCTCAGCATCCACAGTCAAGTTATACATTCCACATACGCCGTCTACGAAATAGCAATGGCAATACTTTAGCCTTGTAGTGTTATCCCATGTCCTTCCCCTCCTTTCTCCCTCTCCTTCCCAACCACCCCTTGTCCATGGGACGCCTCATGTCGTCCTTTTGAAACCAATGAAGCTATTATTGCCCGTTCAATTCTCAGCAAGTTCCGCGACTCGACATTTGACATACGATACATAACCCGACCCAATCCCTCTTCTACCTCTATTATATATATGCGCGACTTATCACTGCTCTCTACTTTCCCCGAAGTCATCGAATGGTCCAAGCGCCCTCGTGTCGCTGGAGAGCTTGACGAGAGCGAATGCTTCCAACATCCGTGCATGCGAGCCTTTCCCCTTGCCCTCGTCTAGGTTGATCTGCGCCAGTTATCCATTCTGCCCAACATGGCTAGACGCCAGCGGCCGCAAGATCGGGATCTAAGGCAAGGTTCGGAGAGCTCTAGTGCTGGCAGTTGGCGATCCCATGATACCGCGACGCAGGGGGATCATAGTCATGGCCTAGGCCAAGCTTCTACAAGCCGTCACCCGGTTTCTGTGCGGACTTCGGGCTCCGATCCAAGGTATGTTTCGTAAACTGCATCGCGAGGGGAAAAGTTGGCGTTGACAATTATTTGTATCTCAGATTGCGACCGATCGGAAAGCCACGGTCATCTTCAAGGAGTAATAGGAGTGCTAGGAGTACTAGGAGTGCCAATCGCCGATCATATTCCCCCGACGTGTCACCAACCGACATGAAGCTTGGTTTTGGAAGCCATAGGAAGGCCCTCGCGCTTCTCGGTGCTGCAGGCTACCCCCCGCCATATTTCCCGGATATCCCCCGCGAGACCCAGCACAGGCGCTCGCCATCATGGACACCACCATCATCGTTGGAGCCAAGCGCGTTGAAATCAGCCCGGGCGCCAGGAACGTTTCTGAATGATGGTTCCGACCAAGAAACCTCTCCCGCCTTCCCCTCTACAGCCACCGACCACGCTGGCCGCAGTGATTCCCCCGACAACCCCATGGACCCCGACCATCGTAGACCGTCTGCTGCAAGTGCCACGACAATTAGTAGCCAAGGATCCAAAGATAGTACTGCTCGCTTCCACAAGTGCCTGCAGCGTTTCTTTGGAGAGGACCAGGGCAATATATCGGATTCGGCTCTCACCCAAGCTCCCAAGGTCCGTGAAAGAAATAACTCTACCCATTCCCTGAAACCCATAACGCGTTCATTTTCCCCCCATGGTGGTGGTGGCCCTCGACCACGCACCGCTCTCCCTTCCAGTGATGTTGCCCCTTGGATGTATCAACGGTTCAATGTAAGCTGGCGCGCAATGTTTCTTTCTGTGGGATCTAATCAGAAAACAGATAACAAAAAATAAAAAAAAAAGGCGTTTTCTGAGTGAGAATCTTGCGTGCATTTCCTTATTCTACCTACATACCGCGACGATAAACTCAGAACGCCCTTTTTTGAAAGTACAGCGCC